TCTGGTCCCATCAAACAGCTGATTTTCTCTTCAAACGAGAAACACCTCCTGGAACCGTGACCGGCTTTTACGGTGCGGGGGAGGGGGGGGAAGGGGGGGGGGGGGGGGGGGGAAGGGGAAAAAAAAAAAAAAAAAAAAAAGGCCGGTTTTTTCTAACCCTGCCCCCACCTATCTGCCACCCTCCTACACCACCCCCCTCCCCAATATCTTTCCCGCAGTCTGGAGAGTCTGCCATGTGGGGGCGGCTCACCGCTGGCGCACGCGCTGGTGGTGGCGGTGCGGGCGGCGGACGTGGCTCGGAGGCGCGGCGACGTGGGGCAGGTGGTGGCTGTGCTCATCACCGACGGCCGTGCCAACGTGCCGCTCTCCACGTCGCTCGACGCCCTGGAGGGGGGCGGTGGTGGCGGAGACGGCGCGACAGGCGCAGGGCAGGAGGAGAAGCTTCCTCCGCGGCTGGAAGACATCAAGGTGCGCCGTGGGCACGTGGTGGGCGTGCTCAGTGCTCACAGCCGTGCCCACATGCCGCTCAAAGCGTCGCCCGACGCCCTTAGGGGGAGGCTGCGGTGAGTCGCAGTGTCGGTGGTGGCAGCAAGGAGCGTGGGATGGGTGCAGGAGGGGAGAAGCTTCCTCCCCGCCTAGAAGACATCAAGGGAGTCCTTGCTTGGCTACTCTCTATTTATCTCCTCTCTTTTACTCTCCTCTGCACTCCTCTCCGCTCCTCTCCTCTTCTCTCCTCTCCTCTCCCCTCCTCTTTTGTCCTATAATCTCTTCTCCTCTCCTCTCCTCTCCTCTCACCTCCAAAAGGTGCATGCAAGGAATACTCATTTGGTTCACAACTTGCCAACCCAGCTCTCATCCCTTACGCCTTTCCTAATCCGCTGCTGCCCTTTCTTTGCTCGCCCTTTGGCGGCTGGCAGGAGGAAGTGCTGAGCATAGCGGCCAAGATGGGGGCGGCCGGCATACAGCTGCTGGTGATCGACACGGAGAACAAGTTTGTTTCCTCTGGCTTCGCTAAGGAGATCGCAAAACACTCTCAAGGTGAGTACTCCTAAGGCGAAGGTACACATTCAACTAGCTGATTTCTGTTAGACAACTGATTATAGCTCGTTTAGGGTACTTGCACGCAATGCCAAGCTCGTTTGGCATGTGATAATCCTTTGCCTGGCCCGGACAAGCGTGCACCCTCATTACAAGCTAAGCACCCAATAAGTGAGTTTGTTTGCCTCCTATAATGAGCTTCCACAGAGGCAATCTGAAGGTGTCACATACTTGTGTTGATTTTTTGCTTCCCATATTTATGCCAAACAGGAAAATACTTCTATCTACCACATGCAACCGTCGCTGCTGTTGCTGCGACCGCTCGTGCAGCTATGCAAGACTTTAGAAAGCCCTAGGACATTGACTTTCATAGGCCACGCTGTACATACTACAGTTCATGCAAATGCTCGAAATTCTTGAGCTAGGCTTGTACATATGCTTTGTTATGTTTGGTGTAAATGGGGTTTCTGTGGGCAATTTATGCATATGATCTTATATAAAGACTTATTGATCAATTGAAACTGCAACAAAATGATATTTTCATGATCGTATGATATTGCCAATTGTTCCAATCAGGAAGGTATACGTCGCTATATGCTAATTCTTCTGTACACTCTTCCATTTCAAATTGTCCATCCCCGACCAAACCCAAGGGCGCATGATCATCCCGCCGCAGCGCGGCGGAAAGCTGCTCGGCGTGGGGCAAGTGAGGCTGGTTGAGCTCACATAAAAAGGAGAACACCTTCGTACTTGACACTCACCATCTCGTCCCGTCTCATCAGCTTGTTCCAGACCATTTCTCAGCAACAACGAAATTCGCCTCAAAATATGGCCTCAGGTTGCAATCAGCTCTTTATATGCACTCATTGTTTGCTTCCGATTTCTTAACTCATGCTTGGTACAGATATGTGTGTGGAGCCCAAGGCTTTGATTCTTGTCGGAGGCTATGGCACACGCCTTCGACCCCTGACGCTTAGGTAGGGTTTCAGTCTGTCGTATCAGTGAATCTTCGCAAATGCAGGATGCTCGACCATTTAAAGCCTGAAATACTGAAAATCCGTGCAGCAAGCCTAAGCCACTCGTCGAATTCGCGGGAAAGCCAATTCTTCTTCACCAGGTAAATGTCCAATTAGTGATATCAATGCGCTAATTCATCATGGTAATCCATGTGCTAACATTGGTCACAGCTCGAGGCTTTGCGGGAGTGCAACGTGAAAGAAGTGGTACTCGCGTTGAGCTACATGCCGCACGGATTCAAGCAGTTTCTTGAGAAATACGAAAAAGAGTTAGGCATGACCATTACGTGCTCTCGGGAAGAGGAGCCGCTAGGGACGGCTGGGCCTCTGGCTTTAGCCAAGAATATTCTGCTGAAGTCTACTGCGTCTTCTCCACCTCAACCATTCTTCATGCTCAACAGCGACGTGATCTGCGACTATCCATTCAAAGGTAGCATTCGAACTGCTCTCTTTCCATACAACTCTGCCCAAACTTGACAGTTATCTTACGGGTCCGTTCCTTCCAATGCAGGACTGCTTGACCTTCATATCAGCCGTGGTGCCGAAGCTACACTTATGGTGACTCGCGTTGAGGACCCCAGCAAGTATGGTGTCGTGATAATGGATGATGCAGGTGCCGTGAGCCGTTTTGTGGAAAAGCCAAAGACATTTGTTGGTGATACTATCAACGGAGGCATTTACATTCTAAGCCCGTCCGTCCTTGAGAGGGTTGAGCTGCGCCCTATGTCAATTGAGAAGGTGCTTATCATCTTACGCATGTGCCCTCATATAATAATCTTGAGGCTGACTCTCATTGCCCTGTGCAGGATATTTTTCCAAGAATTGCCATGGATAAGAAGTTGTACGCCATGGTTCATACGGGCTACTGGATGGATGTTGGGCAGCCCAAAGACTATCTGGAAGGGATCAAGACGTATTTGCATCACAAGAGAAGTTCACATCCCGGGATGCTAGCCACTGGCAGCAACATTGTTGGGAATGTGATTGTGGATCCCTCTGCTACCATCTCCAAGAGCGCGTCTGTTGGTGAGTAGGTCGTCAGTTGAAGATGGTTTTAAGGCACGTGGCGTGAATCTTCTAACTGAATCATGTGCTTGTGACAGGCCCTGATGTTGTTGTTGGCCCCAATTGCATCATCCACGATGGTGCGAGGATTCATGGAAGTGTTCTCTTGGGCGGTTCCCGAATTGGCTCAGGTAGCCTGATTTTGAACAGCATAATTGGCTGGAACTCCACAGTGGGGAAGTGGACACGCATTCAAAAGAATTCTGTCCTGGGCGAGGATGTCACTGTGAATGATGAGGTGCTGATCAATGGCGCAAAGGTCTTGCCTCACAAGGAGGTCAAGGCAGATGTTGATACTCCACAGATCATCATGTAGCCAAGCTATGGCTGTGAGCAATGGTGGAAAGTGTTGGCAAGATGCGCTGTAATTGTAGTACCATAGTATGTACTGTTTACTAAGATAAACATCCTTCTACGCATCAGCTGTTGAACTAGCAACTGATACACGGTACCAAACCAAGAGTGTCTATGTGGTACAACTACCAACTAAAACAAGTACCATACGTGATTTTACTGCTGTTGCTGCTCTGCAACGCAAAGGGCTTCAAGTCCAGGAACCTCCATTATCATGGGGAGCTCTGGTCTCCATGGCAGCTCATCCTTTTCCCAAATCGACCAATGGCTCTGCTTCATGGTCGGTGTCGGCCTTGGGCTTGCATGAAACAACCTCAGCTGGCGGAACAAGAAAGCCATTTCCAGCTCATCCTCCCCCACCTCATCTGCAGTGCTTTCAGTGTCAGCCTGCTCTCCAGAGAGATCTGAAACCTCTGAAGTGTGTTCCTCGCTCCGATCAGACGAGGAACCAGAGCTCGTGTTCTTGCCCGACTCAGAGTCAGACAATTCCTGACGAACAACCCTTTCTGGCTCAACCCCCTTTCCGGTGCCAGACTCCTCCTCCCTCTCATCGTCATCAGAGCACCCTTTCACCAGCACGCCTGCTGGTCTTGCACTAGTTGGCGCAAATGAGGTGAACTTGCAATCACTGGCATCACGCCCAGACTGCTGCACCTTGAGCCTAAAGGTTGCCTCATAAGCCGCACACCTGGCTGCTACCTCGAGTGCTTGCAGGCTCTCATCGTCCTCACTTTCATCCCACTCTGTCCTCAAAGACGGCTCCAGGACCAAGGACATGCCATTGGAGTCTTCATACTTGTTGCGCTGCTCATCACCTGCTCCCTCATCATCCTCCCCTTCCTCGTCCTCTTCCTCGCCTTTCTCACCTTCCTCCCTACCCTCCTCTTCTTCTTCTTCTTCTTCTTCTCCCTCTCCTTCATTCTCCTCCTCTTCATCTTCCTCCTTTTCCGCTTCCTCCTCTTCTTCTTCTTCTTTTTCTTCCTCCTCTTCTTCCTCCTCCTCTTCCTCTTCCTCTTCCTCTTCCTCCTCCTCGTCTTCCTCTTTTTCTTCCTCATCTTCTTCCTCCTCTTCTTTTTCCTCTTCTTCCTCGTCCTCTTCTTTCACTTCTTCCTCCTCTCCTTCTTCCTCTTCTTCCTCTTCCTCTTCTGCCTCCTCCTCTTCCCCCTCTTCCTCTTCTCCCTCCTTCTTCTCCTCCTCCTCCTCCTCCTCCTCCTCCTCCTCCTCCTCCTCCTCCTCCTCCTCCTCCTCCTCCTCCTCCTCCTCCTCCTCCTCCTCCTCCTCCTCCTCCTCCTCCTCCTCCTCCTCCTCCTCCTCCTCCTCCGCCGCCGCCTCCTCGTCCCCTAGTTTCTCTAGTTGTAATTCCTGAACCTTAAGTTGTACATCGTGTCTCCCTTCTTCCTCTCCCACCACCGCTTCCAGTTGCCCCTCACCACTCACTGTGCCCGTCCATTGTCCATCAATTGCCGTCCCCTCCTGTCCTCTCACAATTTCCCCCTTATCCTCAACGCCAACGCCCTCCACGCTCCACTTTTGGCCCTCCATCCGCCTATCCTCACTGCTAGCCTGCAGCAGCGTCAGGAAGATGCTGTTTGGAGCCTCCTCAACAGCCGGATCCTCCCCTCCAGCGCCCTGCCCCATGGCAATTGTCGCATCCAGAATCTCCTCCCACGCTTGCCTCTCCCTCTTCCCCTCGCACCTCCCCGCTCCCCATTCCTCGCCTCCAAATGCACTCTCCTGCTCATCGCCTTCCTCCCTCAAGCCCTCTCCCACCACTCTCCCAACTCGTGGCTCTTCTGAGCTTTCATGCAAAGGCTGGGGAGAAGCATTCACTCCATCACCATCCCCGCTGCGCTCCTTCAGCTCATCCGTCCCATCCACTGCTGCTCTCGCCTGCTGCATCACCGCCCTCTCCCCCCAGCGCTCCTCCCCCTCCTCAATTCCTTCCATCACTTCCACCGCTTCCATCCATTCGATTCCTTCAATTCCTTCGCTCCCCCACGACCTCCTCCTCGCCTGCGCATCAAAGAACTCCTCATCCTCGCTAGTAGCAGACTCGAACATCTCTGAACTGTTCTCCCCATGCACACTTGACGCTGCAGTTCCCCCCTCCGCAAAAGACGCCCTTCGTGTCACACTTGACCCAGCGCCCATCGCCAGCCCAGCCATACAACTCCCAAGGGACAAGCTCTTCTGTGAGTCTCCCACAACAACCGCTGAGTGCTGCTGCTGCTGCTGCTGCTGCTTCCCCTCATCCGTTAGACCCACTACACGGTTCACTTCAACCAGCGGCTGCCTGCACCCCATCGCCCGCTGCTCGCCCACCAGCCTGCCAAACACGTCCTCCATCCAACCACCTCCCGCATCGCCCCTTCCAAGCTCGCCCCATGCTCCACTGAAACCGCCAAGCATACCAGTGTCGCACGCGCCTGCTGCCCGAGGGCCCAAAGGGCTCAAGGGATCCAAGGGGTCCAGGGGCATCTGCTCCCACTGCGCCGCCAGCCTGAACGCCTCGTGCGACGGCTGGCTCAGACTGCCACTGAACAGCTCCCCCAGAGGCCCGCTGCCCGCCCAGCTGTAGCACCCGCTGCTCTGACTCAGCGGCCCGCTGCTCTGACTCAGCGGCCCGCTGCTCTGACTCAGCGGCCCGCTGCTCTGACTCAGCGGCCCACTACTCTGGTGGCTCAAAGGCCCACTGCCTGTACGACTTCCTGCCCGGTTGTAGCACTCACTGCTCTGGCTCAGAGGCCCGCTGCCCTGGTGGCTGAGAGGCCCACTGCGTGGCCGGTGGTAGCGCCAGTGGCCCTGGCGACTCAAGGGCCCGCTGCCCCATCGCCTGAGCGGCATGCTGTGCAGCCTGCCTGAGGGGCTCCCGAGCCGCGCTGCCAGTGGGCCACTGCCCGCCTGCACCAGCGGTCCGCTGAGGCTGCGAGGACCATTGCACGGCACGCTGAGAGGGCTGCTGACACTGCGAGGGCCACTTGAAGGGCCATGGCACGCATCACTGAGAGGGCTGCTGAGAGGCCCGCTGAGAGGGCCACTGAGAGGGCCGCTGTAAACGCCACCGCTAGCGCCAGTGGTCCTTGTGCTGGGTTGGGTGTGGCAGGCACTCCGGGTGCTGTGGGTGGTACGACTGCACCTGAATCTGCATGTGCACCTGCTGCTGCTGGGACTACTGCTGCTGGAGCCGCCTGCTGCACTGCTATCCCCGCCACTGCTGTGCCGCGCACAGCACCCGTTGTTCGCCATGCTGCTGCTGCTCATGCCACAGCTGCTACTGCTCATGCTGCTGCCGTGGCTGTGGCTGCTGTGGCTGCCCCAGTGGCACTGCCTCGGGAGCTCCGAGGAACTCCCCCGGCCCGCCTCCTCCTCCTCCTCCTGCTGCTGCACCACCTCTTTCTCCTGCCTCTCCTTTTCCTCCTGCTGCCACGTCATCTGCTTTGGCGGGCCTGGCTTTTCACGCACCGAGCGTCGAGTGGTTTCCTCGATCCACTGCATGCCGCTGCGCAGCGCAGCACTGGTGGGGTCGACACTGACGTCCGTCCCCTCAGCCCTCACCACATCCCTCCCTGCGTCCCCACTCCCCGTCTGCAACGCCTCGCCCTCCTCCTCCTCCTCGCCTTGTCGACCACCCAAGCCCAAACCCGCAAACGCCAGGGACACACGACCCACATCTGCGTCCGTGCCTCCGTAGCTGTCCCCCTCCCCTCCGCCGCCCACAGCAGCGTCACCTATACCCTCCTGCGTCCGCTGCTTGCCTCCCTGCCCTGCCTTGGCCGCTGCCTGATCTCCCGGCATCTCACGACTCTGCATGGGATCCAACGCTGCTCGCTCTGCCACCTCTCCTCCCGCTTCTCCGCCCGCGTCTCCACGTGCCTCTCCACCCACCACTCCGCCCGCCACTCCGCCCACCGCGCGCCACCGCTTGCTCCACCGCACTCCCCGCAGCCGCCACGTACCCCCTGCTGCACTCCCCACTGCAACCCCCGCTGCTGCATCCCTCGCTGCTACAGTCCCCCCTGCTGCGCCCTCCCACAACTCTGCTGCTGCCGCGCCAACAGGGCCACTTCCCCCCAGCCCTCGCTGCAACTCCTCCTCCGCCTCCTTCTCGCCCCCTGCCCCTCCGCTCCTCCCTTCCGCCCTATCCCCTTCCTCCACCGCCCTGGCCTCCCCCCTTCCCGCCACTCGCACCTCTGCCCCCGCGGCGAGCTGCTGCTTGCTCGCGATGGTGCTCGCCGCCTCACCCGCACGCCACGAGCCAACGGCTCCCCCGCCTGCCACCCGTCCCCCCTCGTCCGCCACGCCCCCCTCCGCTTCTACATCGTACGCTCGCTCTCCCTCTCCATCTCCCCCTTCTTCTTCCTCCCACGCCTCCTCATCCCCCTCCTCCCTTTCCTCCTCCTCATCCTCCTCCCGCCTTACCTCCTTTTCCTCCCATTCTTCTTCCTCCGCCTGCTCCTTCAATCCTTTCTCCTCACCTTCCTCTATCTCCTCTTTAACCCGCATGCCCACGTTATCCTCTTCCCCCGTCCCCGTTTTCTCCTCCTCCCATCTCCCATCCTCATCCCCGTTCTCATCCTGCCACGCCTCATCTTCTTTTCCATTCGCCTCTGCTTCACACTCCTCAGCTACCTGCTCGTCCCCGCCTTCCTCCTCCACCTCCTCCCACTCACTCGCCTCGCTCTTACTCACCTCCTCCTCTGTCGCATATGCCTCTTCGTCCGCTTCCTCTCTCTTTCTCCTCCTTGTCACCTCATTCGCCCATCGGCATTCCCCTTGTTCGCCACTTTCGCCACTTTCGCCGCTTTCGCTACTTTGGCTCTCACCCATCCTCCTCCGGCTCTCCGACCCTCTCTCGCCAGTCGTAATCGTAGCGACCGTCTCGACGCGACCAGATCCGTCGCTCGAAACTCGCGATGCTCGCTGCGACTCCTTTGAGTCGCCCAGATCGTAGCCCTTCGCATCCCCGTTAACAGATGCCTCGGTTGAGTACCCCGGTGACTCCAACTGAAAGTGCGAGCGGAACTTAATCGTACGGCTGCAATCGCTCCGTCGGTCGGGGCTATCGGGCCAGAGGAGGCCTGGGTCGGAAGATGCGGGTACCTGGTGGGAATATGCGGGGCATGTGTGATGCGGTAAGTAGCGCGAAGAGTCGACACGTGGATCGAACGGGACTGCGCGCCACTGCGGTGGTTGGCAGCGACTGAGGTGCGGGATGGGGGATAAGGCAGCGCTTGAGGTGCGGGATGGGGGACAAGGCAGCGCTTGAGGCGTGGGATGGGGGACAAGGCAGCGCTTGAGGTGCGGGATGGGGGACAAGGCAGCGCTTGAGGTGTGGGATGGGGGATAAGGCAGCGCTTGAGGTGTGGGATGGGGGACAAGGCAGCGCTTGAGGTGTGGGATGGGGGAAAAGGGCAGCGACTGAGGTGCGGGATGGGGGAAAAGGGCAGCGACTGAGGTGCGGGATGGGGGAAAGACAGCAACTAGCAACTGACTCAGTCAGGATGGAGGAAAAGGCAAGAGATGACGTGCAAGCAATGGAGCCAGCATCATGGGCGCGCTTCTGAAACTCACTTTCCTGCGACCTTCGTTTTCCATGCGCCACCTCGCACCCCCATTTGTTCCCCGCCTCCCGCTCACCTGTCGTCGCCGCCTGTCACCGCGCGCCACGGCCATCGCGGCTTCGCGCTTCTTCACCGCCGCCAGCACCTCCCAGTGCGCGCGCCGGTCAAATCGAATCATACGCTCCTTATCGAATTCATTCTCGCTAAGAGCGCTCTCCGCGGTGACTACATACGTCCATCCCTTACACAGCCGTTTCGACAAGCGAAGACTTTTCTTCGCGGGGCCGTGAAACAAGCCGGGAGTTGCGGCGCGTAGCGAGAGGGCGATCTCGAGAGGCTCGGACGCTGCGGCGCAAGACAGCGTGGACCTGGACGATGATGACGTGGGCACGGGACCTGCTGACGTGGATGGAAATGCTAAGGACGTGGACGCTGCGCGGAGGCAGTACGGCAGTACGCGCCTCAGTGCTTGCTCTACCGTGAGGCGCGCGGCGAGGGAGAGATGAAAGCCGTCGGGCAGAATAACTATCGCTCCAGCTGCCCGGCTGTCAGACGCTGTGCGCCAAGGCCACATTGCGGGGAGATCGTTGCCGTCAGTCGCGCAGGCTTGGCTGGTCCCTTAAACTGGGTTACGCAATGCAATCAAAGGCGACAGTTGTGAATGATACGAGCTCTGGTGAGTAATAGCCTGGTTCGTATTGTGTTAGCTCTCGTGATAACCTGAAAAGCGGAAGAATGTAACTTCTGAAATCCGCTGGCCACGCAAAAATGGGGGGCTGACCCTCTAGCGACTCGCTACAAGAGCAATTACGCTTTTTCTAGCAACTGCACTGGGGAAGGTGTTGAAAGGGCTCTGGCACAGGTGTGGGAGGGAGGCCATGGAAAGGCTGGAAACACGTGCAGTAATGCTCCCAGCATTTCGCGAAATGCTCCTCCAAATCTTTTGGGGCTCCCAGCGATGGACAGAACCTATTTAAATATGGGCGTTCCTTCATTTGTACCCTAGACTCTTCGCTCCGCCAGCTCTCAGCAACTAGAACGCAAACGCCAAACGCAACCCCTCGGTGTGCTGCGCACTTGCGGCCATTAGATAAAATTAACAAAATGTAGATCACATACGCCAGAAGACAGCGCAGGGGTCACATGACCTAGGTCAGTATGTGGAAACGTGAGTCATCATAGAGTCATGACCTAACATTTCCTAGTGTAGATGCTCATGTACAGGTAGTTACCCGAAAGAACAAACTCTCCTTGCGTTTCTGCCCTTGTGGAACGCAATGCCAAGTCTGTACTGTACAACGCCGCCGAGTCGGCCAGATTTTTGGATGACAGCGAAGCGCGAATCTGACGACACGCGAAACCAACGGCTCTTACAAAACTGGGGGGATGTAGGCTTAGCTACACTGAGAATGGCAAAATATGTGCGTAAGGGCTCGTCCGTAGGTTTGACATGACAAAATCGCCAGTGTCAATATTCCGGGTTGACACTCACCAACATTGTTGGCAGAGTGTCAAAATTTCGCAGATTGTTAGGCAGTCGTACATTTTCGCTCCTGACACCGTCTATACCAGCAAACCAACCATAGTCGTCGCATCAGCAAGTCTGATCACCCATACTAACCAATAAAAACGCAGCGCTCCCTGACAGCTAGTTGCGGACGTGGGCGAATCATCTGGAAACACTTGGTGTTCCAACGAATAAGGGCGCGTGTCTTTTGGTGTAGAGGTTCGAAAATAAGGTCGACCTTTTGCAGGTAACCAGCTTCGCAATTTTCGTTTAAAGCCCGCGGCCCAAATTGCGGACCGCGCGGGTCAAGTTTTTAAAACTTGACGAAGTTGGTTCTGCAAGCTTTTGAAAAGAAGCGCGGCTGCAATTTGGGACTTTCGGGTCTCACACACTCACACCAGTGTAAACACTAGGGGCTGGCTGGGTTTGGCGAAAAAAACGACTTGAACGAAATCAGTAACGCTCGCCAAAACCCAACCCAGTAAAACTCCCCTCCCGTCAACTTTTTAAAACATGTGCAATTTGGGCTGCCGGCTTTAAGGCTATTGGCGACAAACGTGTGTTCAAGCTCAAAGTTGAAGAAACCAGGAGGACACTGAACTTGGGTCGACCTTACATTCGATTATCCCCGAGCACGTTTTTGCAATCGTGTGTTCTTCTGCCCACGCACGAAGATTTGCGAGCTTCGCGACGGTAACGATTAACTTCGCGTCAGGTTACAAAGTTTCGAAACGCTGTCGAACCTCACTGTATAGACCAGGTAACCTTACGAAAGTTGGGCGCGACTCGGATTTTGGTGTACAATTCGAACTTTGAAAGTCGAGCATTTCTTGTGCCATGTGCTCCACGTCAAAGGTGAACACGCGACTCGACAGTACAATACGGAGATAGTCGAGCACAGGTCGACCAATGTTCATAGGAAAAAATTCGACTTAAAAACCTGAGCTTTGGCCTAAAATCCAAAAGACACGCGCCCTAAGCTTGCATCTTTGCTGTTCGCACAAGCGCTTCGGGTTGACACTGATTGTACAGTGATTGACACGCAAAATCATGCGCGCGTCGGGTTGACACGCATAATCATGCGCGCGTCGGGTTGACACGCATAAACTTGACATGTCAAAACTACGGACACGAACTAAGTTATCTACAACGCTAAGAGATAGTTGTCAACATAGTTGAGCAGAAAATGAATAAAGAAGCTTGTGACTAAATGAACTGACGATACAATGAAAGACACGCGATAATCAGCGGGAAGCAAACAGGCTGAATGTGCACTTCCGAAAATAGGGGATGTACGCGAAACAGTAAACCCCAGTAACTGAAAGTTTTTCCTCACCCCTCTTTAAGAAAGGTGGTCGGTATCCGCCAGGGCCGGTGCTAGGTTTTTTGGCATAGTGATGCCTGTAAAGAACGGAATGTTGATTTCACTAAGGTTGGCAGGGGTACATAAACCTAACCCTAACTGTTGTACCCCATATGACACACACCACTAAGACTATAACATTTGACACACCCCCATAGCCTAAGTGAGGGGTGTCAAGCAAAACCAACAACGTACGGTCACAAGACTAATCACAAAGCAACAAAGCTCAAGCTGGATCACAATGTCACCACACACTCTGAGCACAAGCGAAGGAGCCACAAGGCCAGTTCAAGCGTTCACAAATGTATATATAAAGCGTATAAACAAAGCAAGCAGAGAACTCAAGACTACACAAGGCGAGAACCAGTGTCAACGAGACCTAACTGCACACAACACCTCTGGTGGTCACAAGGCAGAAGCGCCTTGGTGAAGATGTCTGCCAGTGGTGTTGGCCTTGGAATCCACAGAGTCGAAGAGAGCCTGTCCACGTCTCTGCAACTCTCGAAGAAGAAAGTACCTGACGTTGATGTGCTTCACTCTGCTCTCCAGTCGCGGCTCTCGACAGAGGAGGATCGAGGCCTTGTTGTCAGTGAACAAGGTCGGTGCAGAGCTCGGCCGCTCCGCAAGGTTGGAGAGCAAGAAGGTCAACTAACACAGCTCCTTTGCAGCCATGGCTCTAGCGTATATCTCAGCCACAGCGGTAAAGGTCGATACCGAGGAGGAGCGCGTGGACCTTCACGAAACAGCTCCAGAACCCAAGCTGAAACAGTACCCCTGAGTAGATCTATGAGTCTGAGCGTCGTCAGCGTAAGAAGAGTCACAGTGACCAGTAAGTACGACAGACTGTTGCCCTCCAAAATCTAGCCCCACGCCTGATGTCGTCTCTAGGTACTTCGCCACCCTCATATCAGCTGTCCAGTGAACAGGACGGTGTCTATACTGGGAGGGAAGGCGAGGTCCGAGCGATTACAAGTCATCAGATACATGAGTGTGACTGCGAGAGTGTAATGGTGAGAGCGGCTTTGTCCCTGGGGATCTGCATGCCAAGGTAGTGGCGCAGCTCACCAAGGTCAGTGCACGTGTGTCTCTTCTGCAGTTCGCGCTTCACGTCAGCCAAAGCAACCCTGTCAGCAGTGGCAAAAACGAGGTCGTTGACAAAGACCAGTACAAAGAACGGTGTGGACCCACGATGAAGAAGCATCGATGGGTCGGCAGAGAACGGCTAGGAATCGAGGTAAGGCAGGGTAGAGAGAAGGGTGTCGTGCCATTCACGAGGAGCCTGACGGAGAGTGTAGACTGGTCACCTCAGCCTCCACTGGGTCCCAGGAGGGAAAGTGCCAGTGAATGTTGAGGGACGACGCAACCAGACCCCCTCGTGTAGGCTACCCTGAAGGAAGGTAGTGGAGAAGTCGAGAGAGTGTAGCTCGTAGTCTCTCTGTGCTGCTACGTGCAGTAACACCCAAAGAGTGGTCATCTTCGGGGTAGGTGCGAAGATATGAAAGAAGTCAACTCCCTTGCGCTAACTGGAAATCTCTAGCCACATAGTGCGCCTTGAAGACTGGAAGAGATTTCAGTGGCCGCTTCACCCTGAGGATCCGCATGCCATCGACTACGTTTGCCGGGGGGGGGGGGAACCTCGTCGACGTAGGTGCCTGTGGATCTGTAGGAGGCCATCTCTGCGTCCATGGCAGCTCTCCACTAAGAGGCCCATGGCCTGACACTGCCTCAGCGTAAGTGCGAGGAGTCGGTATGTCAAGGGCGTCGGGGTCTCCCTCAGGGGCGAGGAGCATGGCACAGAGATGAGGGGACGCGACCGCCAGGAACTCTAGCTTAAACTGCCTGTCCTCCAGGGCGTTACAGCCAAGGGCAGACTCACCCCCGACGGCCAGAGGACCGGTGGGAGGAGCAGCCACTAGACGAGTTGCGTAGTCAAGACGATGAGTAGCGGTAAAGTGAGTGACTGCGGCAGTAAGGGCGGAGACAGAGGACAGAGAGGCACGAGGGTCAGTGACAAGAGAGGCGAGAATACGAGAGAGAACATGACAGTACGTGCGGTAGTAGTAAGTCACAGGAGTAGAGAGGGAAGAAATGAGGGTCGACTCAGGAGGGGAAGGAAGCACAGACGGAGACGAACGAGGCGGACTAGGACGGAACAGGACAGTGTGAAGGTCAGTGATAGGGGACGAGAGGACGAGCACGAGGAGAGGGAGAAGCCCAAGTGTGAGAAAGAGGAGGGAACAACAGAGGCTGAGAACGGGGGAAAACATTTGGGGTGGGTTCAAGAGGAGACGTGGGACCGTAGACAGGAGGAGAGGGGGAGGAGGAAGGAGAGGGAGAGGGGAGACCGAGGGTCCGAAGACCAGAGACAGTAGTCGGAGGTGGCAGCTGCTGCTGCTCCTGCTGCGGTAGCAGCAGCTGCTGCTCCTGCTGCTCCTATTGAGGCGGCTGCTACTCCTGCTGCTCCTCCAGCTGCGGCTGCTGCTGCTCTAGTTGCTCCTGCAGTGGCGGCTGCTGCGCCTGCTGCTGCTGTTGCAGCTCCTCCAGCTGCTATAGCTCCAGCTGCTGCCTCTCCAACCCTAGCCCCTCTCGCTCCAACTCTAGCTGCTCCTCACGTGCGCGACGAAGACGGGGTTGGTGTCGGGTCGGGTGGGGGGAGGAGTAGTGTCCGGGTCGGTGGTAGCCCCAGGACCGCTCTCCAAAGCAC